CCGCTCAGAGGCTCTGCAGCCACTCGGCTTTCCAGCACTTGCGGGTCCTGGAGGCCACAGCCCTAGCCGGCGGCCGCATCCGCTCCGAGCGCAGTTTCGGTAACCGCCCCTTCCTGACCCCTTCGTGGAACCCGTTTCCGAACCCCCTCCCAGAACCAACCGGGTCCACCCGAACTCGGCCTCTCTGGCCCGGCGTGCGCCCAGGGTTAACCCGCCCGGAAGTCTTCTCTGGTTCCCAAGTGAATCCCCCGCCCAACCCACTTAAGCATACAAAGTTCACCGACGTGGAAACTCAGTTTCCCAGTTATTAATAGCTAGGACTCAACTTGCCGGGAAAGGTAACTGGCGATTCTACACAGTTGCCTGGCTCTGTCCCGCAGGTAGCCCTCTTACCCCTCTTACCCCCTCCCCAGTCCGATGGTCCCTCCCCCCTTCTCCTTTAGGCTGTTCTTAGAAGGCAGGGGCCACCCTTCACCACCACCCCCCCCCCCCCCCACCACACACACACACTCTCTCTCTCTGTCTCCTTTCAGATATTCCCTTTAAACCAGGGTTGATGGGGCCCTGCCCTCCGGACCAGGTGCCCTCAAGCTGGTCTTCAGAGCATGGTTGGAGAGGGCAGAGTTGGGTGGGGTCCAGAAGGGCTTAGGGTAACTTTTCTGTGGAGGGGTCTTGCAGGTGACACTTCTGTCTCTTTCCAGGTGGGGTAGTGGAGATAGGTGCACATTGGATCCATGGACCCTCCCAGGGCAACCCAGTGTTCCAGCTGGCTGCCCAGTATGGGTTATTGGGGGAAAAGGAGTTGTCGGAGGAGAATCAACTGATAGAGACAGGGGGCCATGTGGGCCTGCCCTCGGTGAGCTACACGAGCTCTGGGGCAAGTGTGAGCCTGGAACTGGTGGCAGAGATGGCCAGTCTATTCTATAGTTTGATAGACCAGACTCGGGAGTTCCTGTGTGCAACAGAGACACCAGTGCCCAGTGTTGGAGAGTACCTCAAGAAGGAGATTGGTCAGCACATGGCCAATTGGACAGAGGCGGAGGAAACCAAGAAGCTCAAGCTGGCTGTCCTGAACACTTTCTTCAATGTGGAATGCTGCGTGAGTGGCACCCACAGCATGGACCTGGTTGCTCTTGCACCCTTTGGGGAGTACACCGTCCTGCCAGGGCTCGACTGCACCTTTTCTGGGTAGGTGCATGCTCCTTCCTCCCACCCAGGCCTCCTTCGATGTGCCTCAGGACCAAAGGGCTGGCTGGGCTGCAGTCGGGCTTTGGGAGGCAGAGGTGGCATGGGAGGGACCCGAGGCCATTTGCCCTCCCTGTTTAGAGAAGGTGGTAGCTCAGTCCCCTAGTTTTGCTCATTTAAGGAAAACAAAAAGTTATTTTCAAGAGAGTCATTAAAAGATAAGACATCTTGTTTTTCTCCCTCCAATATTTACTGAGGCCCTTACTTGATAGTGTGATGTTAGGGATTTCAGCTGCAGAGGGGGCCAAACAGGTTCCTTGCCCTGTGGCAGGGTGGCTGCCTCCTACCACGTGCAATTATCCCCTCTGCTGAGCTGTCCTACCCAGGTGTTGCCTTGGTATTGGCAGCCCCAGGCAGTGGGCATTTGTGACTGCACAGAATAAGAACTCTGGTGTGAGTTAGGAGGGAGCTGGTGTTCTCTCTAGATTACCTGGGAGCTTTGCGATAATTAGCTCACTTAATCCTTCTAGTAACCTGGGAAGCTGGTATTAACATTCCTGTGGTACTCTCAAAACCACAGGAGTGGAGCCAGGGGTGCTACGCAGAGTCCACACCTACTCTCCGTCCAGGCCCTAAGTGATGCCCTGTATATCAGGACAGAGAGCGTGGAGGGCCTCTTTCCATCAGTGTTACCATCTTAGGGGCTGGGCCTCTGAACAGCATCAACACTTCCATCTTTCCTAGGGGTTACCAAGGACTCACAAACTGCATAATGGCCTCCTTGCCAAAGGACGTGATGGTTTTCAATAAGCCTGTGAAGACTATTCACTGGAATGGATCCTTCCAAGAGACCACATCTCCAGGGGAGACATTTCCAGTGTTGGTGGAATGTGAAGATGGAGACCACTTCCCAGCACATCACGTCATAGTCACCGTGCCCTTAGGTAGAGCCCATTTTTCTTGTCATGTTATTAATTCAAATGCCTGTCCTGGCTGTCTTTGGCATTACTGTGCCTCCGTTGACCCTGGGGTATTTGCTTGGCAGTTAAGCTCACATTTTCGTTCTAATAATTTTCAGATAGGAGAAATTATTATAGTAGTAGTTGTATGCTTTGAAATTAAGAATTTTATATTCAGAAAAAATTCAAATAAACATGTGCTTATTTGGAGGTAAATGGAAAGGGGGCTGGCCTCTAGAAATGAATGAAATTGCACTTTGTTAAGGTTTGGACTGGTGATAAGCCATAGAAGTAGCCGTAGCCATATATATGTATAAGTCTGTTTAATTCCAGATCTGGTACTTCAGCCAGAAGTTATTTGTTTTTTTTTGAGAGTATTTTTTTTCTTTTTTTTCCCCTGCTATAGGGCTCTTGCGCTCGCCAGACAGAGAGAGACAGAGAGACAGAAAGCGAGAAATCGCCTCCCAGGGGGGATGGTCACGCTGCAGTCCCTTCTCCTCCATTCTCCTCTCGGCATCCTGGGCACGCACGCACATGTGCCTGGCGTGAGTTTTAAGCTGCCAGGTCTGGGACGCGAACCGTGGTCGACTACGTGGGAGTCCAGCGACATAGCCATTATGCTAACTGTTGGTCCCTCGGCCAGAAGTTTTTGAGAAGTTGTTTGACAGTCTCAGAAAAGGTGGAGATAGTTGAAAACAAAGTTGCTAGAGTAATTGCTGCTGACTAGACAGGTGTCTCAGGCCAACTTCACACTGACTTTAACCTCTGCCTGTGTTATGTCAGTCACTCCTGATGGTAACCTTGAGGTCTGTCACATTCCCTTTCTGACAAGTGTAAGCGTCTAGGCAGAGAGTAAAGTCACTTAATCGCTCAACTTGACAAAGCTAGCAAGCACCAGAACTGACTTGGGAATCCAGGTGTGGTAAAAGGGTGTGAGATGAAAAGCAAGAGTCTCCCCTAGCCTGGGGTAGCTGTGGTTACTGTGTTGTGTGTCCATTGAGAACTTGTTGTGTTCCACAAATGGAATCATACTAGATGTATTAGACACATGAACTTCTGCTGTGTGGTTTGCCCTTTATTTTTTATCTCCCCTTAAGCTTTTTGTCAGTGTTTTCAATTTATATACATGAGGACTTGAAAAAGTTCATGGAGATGGATCAAAGTACAAGAGCTTATTTTGGTGCAAAAACATTTAAAACCTATGTGTAGCTTTTCATAATTTTCCATGAACTTTTTGAAGACCTCCCCCATATAGAGCTAACACTTTTTTTTTTTAAACTCTAGTGACTTTGCTTATTTTTTTTTTGCAATGTATAATTACTAAGTCTACTGAGTGCTAATCACTGTGCCAGTGCTGTTCCAAGAAGCCACCTCACTTGTCACTTTTATCCTTTAGAGCCACATAGTAATGGAATCATACTAGATGTATTAGACACATGAACTTCTGCTGTGTGGTTTGCCCTTTATTTTTTATCTCCCCTTAAGCTTTTTGTCAGTGTTTTCAATTTATATACATGAGGACTTGAAAAAGTTCATGGAGATGGATCAAAGTACAAGAGCTTATTTTGGTGCAAAAACATTTAAAACCTATGTGTAGCTTTTCATAATTTTCCATGAACTTTTTGAAGACCTCCCCCATATAGAGCTAACACTTTTTTTTAAACTCTAGTGACTTTGCTTATTTTTTTTTTGCAATGTATAATTACTAAGTCTACTGAGTGCTAATCACTGTGCCAGTGCTGTTCCAAGAAGCCACCTCACTTGTCACTTTTATCCTTTAGAGCCACATAGTATTTTCTGTATGTAGACATCATTATTTAATAAATACTGGTGGAAATTTAAGTGCTTTGTACTTTTTCTGTTTCACATAGTGTTTTACATGTGCATTTAAAACTGTATGAATCTATCTGAAGGTACCTAGTAGTAAGAATTGCTGAGTCAAAGATAGGAGCAGATGGGACAACTGGAAATGGCATTGTGACCCACTGTGGCCTGTGGCTATAGTATGTTAGAGTGCCCGTTTCTCCATTTATACTGACCGTTGATAACCTTTGCCTGGTGAGCTGTTGAGTTGTTGTTGTTGTTGTTGTTGTTGTTGTTTTTTTTTCTGACTTGCAGGTATCTTAAGGATATTGGGTTTTACCATGTATTGCAAATTATAAAAATTTTTTTTTTTAGATTTTTGCCATGTGTGTATAAAGTTGCCAGAGAGGGACAGAAAGGGACAGAGGACACAGAGAGAAGGAAAGTGGGAAATTACCCCACAGGAGTAATGGTTGCTCCACATTTTCTTCTCCATTTTCCCCTGTGGGTTTTGGGTATACATGCATATGTGCCAGGCATGTTTTTCAAGCCACCAGACACTGGCCGTATGGGATCCAGTGCCTTAACCACCATGCCACTTCCTGACCAGCAAATAGTTCATACTGTTCTTTGACTTCTTTATTTGTTTGCTCTGTTGTTGTTTGTCTTTGGGCTATTTTTTTTCCTAACATGCAGATTAGTTTTTCTGTAGCCTCTGGATAAAGTCTATGTACTTAACTGCTGTTCCGAACTAATGCTTGAGCAGTGTAGCTTGAAGACAGGGAAAGACAGAAGGCTCAGGAATGAGTTGTCCTTTTTTTTTTTTTTTAAGAGGTTTTTGCTAAAGGGTGCTTGCAATCACCAGAAAGACAGAGAGACAGACAGAAAGCGAAAAATCACCCCCTGGGGGGATGGCCACACTGCAATCCCTTCTCCATTCTCCTCTTGGGATCTTGGGCATGCATGCACACGTGCCCTGCGTGAGCTTAAGCCACTGGGTCTGGGACTCAAACTGCGGTCGACTACATGGGAGTCCAGTGACATAGCTATTATGCCAACTGCAGGTCCTGAGTTGTCCTTAACAGAGCAGTTTGGTACCCATGTCCCTATGTGACTATTGGTGACTATAGGACGGACCCCTCTTGTTCCTCCTGTTACAGTGCTAGTCACCCCAGACTTTGAGTCCTGATGTCCAGAGCCAGCTTCATCTGTGTCCTAGATTTATTTGGAAGCCCTGACTACTCTGAGTGGAATCAGTGTGGGTTCCTGTTGGCTGTTGCTTCTTGTATAAGATTTATGTGGTGTAAGCCAAGTCCAATTATGAATTCCAGGTTTTCTTAAAGAACGTCTGGACACCTTCTTTGAGCCGCCACTGCCCACTGAGAAGGCAGAAGCAATCAGAAAAATAGGCTTTGGGACCAACAATAAAATCTTCCTGGAATTTGAGGAGCCTTTCTGGGAGCCAGACTGCCAGCATATCCAGGTGGTGTGGGAGGACATGTCGCCCCTGGAGAACGTCACCCCTGCACTGCAGGACGCCTGGTTCAAGAAGCTCATTGGCTTTTTGGTCCTGCCTTCCTTTGAGTATGTACACTTCCCAAGTGGCTCTGAGGAAGCCTCCGTATGGGCTCTGAGTGGGCTGACTAATCAAGTCTTAGTTTGGTTTAGGATCCAGCAGTGTGTTGGCTCATTTTGAGGCATATGTAGAGGGATTAATGGCTGGACGAATCCCACAAGATCCCCAACACACTGATTACCGACACCCTGGGCCCAGCCCGCTGCAGGGACAGATGGAAACCTACTGTATGTAGGTTGTCAGCATCTCTTAGGGCCCGGAGTATGCTAATAGATTCAAAGCATGGTCAATCAGTGAGAAAATATTTATTGAAATTCTTCAGGAAGCTGGGGCTTATAGATACAGAAGAAATTTGAAACATGGATCTGTCTCTACCTGGGGAGACAATACTTAAACACAATGCAATAACTGAACAAAACATATAAGTAATAGAATCATAGACCTAGAGATGAAGGGCAAGATCGTTTGGCTCAGCTGCCTTATAAAGCAACATATATGGATTTACGTGCTAATTTAGAAGATAATACCGTGAATGATTTAGGAATGGAGGCACTGATTTTTCTGGCAGGATTAAAATACAAAGTTAACATATTGTAGTTAGACAGCAGACATAATTTTACGTTTCCACTCAGTGACATGATGGGAGATTGAGCAGGTTCTGAGCCTGGAACACAGGGCATAACTGCAGGAATGGCTCTTTGCTGCCATCCATTGGCAGCTGGGGGCTTGGCCCTTAGAACAGTCCAATAGAGGGAGGGAAGCCTGTTTATCTCCTTGGCACTGAAGAGAAAACTGACACTCCAGGAGTTTGGAAATGGCAGTGAGGTTGTTGGTAAGCAGTGGAACAGGTCACATAGGCTACCTACTCTGGGCCCTGCTCTGCAGCCTGTACCCTGTTGCTGTCAGTGGAGATGACAGGTCCTGGGTAACTCTGAACACCTTTGTGGGATGCTATCCATGGCTTGGGATAGTGGCTCTCAGACTCTGTGGCCTTAAGATCCATTTTATACTCCTGAAAATGACCGAGGATTTCAAAGAACTTTTGTTTCTGTGGGTTATGTCTATACATTTACCACATTAGAAATTAAAACTGAGAAACTTCAATACATTTATTGTTTAAGATGACAGTAAAGAATCTATTCCATATTAGCATAAATAACTTTTCAATTTTTTTTAGGTTTTTGCTATAGGGTGCGTGTGCTCACCACACAGAGACAGAAAAAGAGAAAGTGAAAAATACCCTCTGGGGGGATGGCCACATTGCAATCCCATTTCCTCCATTCTCCTCTCAGGATTTTGGGCAGGCACACACATATGCCCAGTGTGATTTTCAGTCTAGGAGTCAACCATGTGGGAATCCAGTGACTTAACCACTTCACCACTTGCTGGCCCCATAAAAAACATTTTTTTCTTTAAATTTTAGAGATTTTTTGTTACAGGGTGTGTGTACTTGCCAGAGAAATAGAGAGAGACAGAGAGACAGAAAGTGAGAAATCACCCCCAGGGGCAATGATCATGCCACATTCCTTCTCCTTTATTTTCTTCTCAGTATTTTGGGCATGGACATACATGTGTCAGACGTGAGTGTTAAGCTACTGGTCTGTGACTCGAACCACAGTTGACTACGTGAGAATCTAGCAATATAACCATTATGCCATCTGCTGGTCCCATAAATTACACCTTTCTTTCTTTTTTTTTTTTTTGGAGAGGTTTTTTTTCGCTATAGGGCGTGTGCGCTCGCCAGACAGACAGAGAGAGACATAGAGACAGAAAGCGAGAAATCACCCCCCAGAGGGGATGGTCACGCCGCAATCCCTTCTCCTCCATTCTCCTCTCGGGATCTTGGGCACGCACGCACATGCGCCCGGCGTGAGTTTTAAGCCACCGGGTCTGGGACGTGAACCGCGGTCGACTACGTGGGAGTCCAGCAACATAGCCATTACGCTAACTGCTGGTTCCCCATAAATTACACCTTTAAAAAAAATGAAAGATAACATGGGGCTGGCAGGTGGTGTGGTGGTTAGGGGCGCTGGACTCCCACATGACTGACTGAGTTTCGAGTTCCGGACCCAGTAGCTTGCTTTCTCATTTTCTCTCTTTTGCTCTCATTCTGGCCCTCTCTGATCAAATAAAAAATAAAATAAATAAAGTTAAACAAAATAATTTAAAAAATGAGAAAGACTACAAAATCATTTATGTAAAATTAAGTGTGAAATACAACTATAGGGATTTATATATATTAACTCATGTAGTCTTCATAACAACCCATGTAGTACATGCTATGATTATCTCCATTTTACAGATAAGAAGACTAAATTTCAACTCTCTTTCTGTGATTCTTTCTAAACATCTAGATAGCACACCCTTGGCTTATGTCAGAAATGCCTCTGAGATTCTGAGAAGATTCATTTCACATGCTGTAATGATATGCTGTAATTGAATGTATAAAAAAGCCCTAATAAATATATAATCAAGTACTGATAGCATATGGAAAAATATATTTCTAGAGAAATATTATCAATGTTATTAAAGACATAAAAGACTTACAAATTACTTAAAATATAAACTTTAAAAATAAAATTAAAATAATACTCAAGACAGAGTTGTTTTTTATGTGCATAACAATATTTTTATTTCATAGAATATAATTTTGTTTAAAATTAAAATGTATATCCAAAAAAGAAAAAAAAAAAAAAAAGAGGCACACCAGTTTGTAGAACTCTAACAAGGGCAGCAGTGGCATAAAGGACAATCTAGCTGGCCCAGCTTGTCCCATGAATGAGCTCCATCCAGAGAACACAGACTGTAGGTTGCCATGGAAGCCAGAACTAGAACCAATCAGGACGTCCTGGGCTTATGTCTTCCATGTTGTTATAAGGATAACTACAAAGTTAACTATGTCCACAGAATCTAAGAAATAATCCTCTTTTCATTATTGTTGGTTTGCTGGAAGAACTATCTTAGCCTCTTTAGACATCCCTGAGTCTACACACATGACATTCAATCATGCCACAACAGAGGAAATTCTGATGTAATGGAGCCTTGAAGAATCAGGCAGGCATCCTAAACTATTTCACCCTGAGATACCGTTGGGATTTTTTAACTATACCTCTCTGAGTATAATTTAAGACAGTTTCATTGTCAGTTCACTCATGATTCTGTTTCTAAGTGAATCAGTAGTATAAAATATGTAAAACTTTATTCACTGAGGAGAATCTGGATATTGCATGCAAAGATAGAAATATTGCATGGGCTTGGCTTCACAACTATCGATAAGTGTGAAAAGGTGAAGTAACCTTTGAGAATGCACTTAAGATTAGAAATAATATAAAACTGATCTAAAAATAGCACATTTGGAACGGTAGGAATGCTTGCCAGCTTTTGAGTTTCTTCCTTATGCTACTATTATTTTCTTATCTTTTATGCCCTTTCTCCCAGACAGTTTAGAAATTCTCATATCATAAAAAAATGGTTAAATTTTTGCTGTTTGAATATTGTCACTGGTAGCAAAGACAGTGAGTCATCAGAGACATGTAACCTTAAAAATATTATTTAAAGTAGGAAAAAAGACATCCTCATCTAGTGCAATTGTGCAAGTTTTTGTTTTGCACTAATCTTCCTCTTACTTTACTAGTTTTAAAAGTGTGTGCCAAAAAATTACTACAGAAGTATTTCATGTTAGGTAAATTCTCTTTACAAGGCAAATGATGTATAGTAATTGAATGTTTAAAAAAATATTAAGAATAAAAAATATAATAATAAGAAAATGAAAACCTATTTGATGATGATGTGGATAGTAATGTCTTTGTTTTGATTAGTAATCATGCTGAAAAAGAAATTTATACATTGTAAAGGTAAAAATAAAAACCTGAACCATAAACTAAAAAAACAAAAACAAAAAAAACTTGCCGAAGGGAAAAATGGCTTCTCAAAGTTATACAGATCCTAATCCCCAGAACTTGTGAAGATAATCATGTTACATGGCAAAAGGACATCATCACAAGTTCCAGGTGGAATTAAGGTTATGGGTCCTAAAATTGGAAGATTATCCTGACAGAAAGCGAGAAATCACCCCCCAGAGGGGATGGGCACGCCGCAATCCCTTCTCCTCCATTCTCCTCTCGGGATCTTGGGCACGCACGCACATGCGCCCGGCGTGAGTTTTAAGCCACCGGGTCTGGGACGTGAACCGCGGTCGACTACGTGGGAGTCCAGCAACATAGCCATTACGCTAACTGCTGGTTCCCCATAAATTACACCTTTAAAAAAAATGAAAGATAACATGGGGCTGGCAGGTGGTGTGGTGGTTAGGGGCGCTGGACTCCCACATGACTGACTGAGTTTCGAGTTCCGGACCCAGTAGCTTGCTTTCTCATTTTCTCTCTTTTGCTCTCATTCTGGCCCTCTCTGATCAAATTAAAAATAAAATAAATAAAGTTAAACAAAATAATTTAAAAAATGAAAGATAACTATTTTATCAAACACTTTTTTTTTGTTTTTGTTATCCTCAAACAATATTTAATGAGAATAATGGCAAAATTTTGTCTTTTTTGCAAATCTCTTTATTTAGCTTAATAGAAGATAGCAAGATAGAAAGTAGAAAATACATTTACTGATAGAAAATAGCTGCTTCTACATTCTGTTGTGATTATTTCATTGAAATATGTGAAGTACTCTACACAGATATATGATTTAAAGAAAGGAGTGATATTTAAATAGTTTTTTAAGTTATTATAGATATTTTTTGGCAGTACATCAAAACTCAAAGTGGTAGTTTGTAAAGGGTTGGCCAAATAAGATACCTGAAACCATATCAGTGAATTTTTTTCAACTTTGGGACATTAAACTCCATTTATACTTTGAACAGATCTTTTACCTATCCATGATTTTGGTCATTCATAAAATAGCGATTCATTTAGTATGCCAAATATTGATATATTATACAGTATCAAAAAATAGAATTGATTAGTGTCACCACTGATCTCAGAAAAATCTTTCAGAATTGGGAGGCTGTTAAGCTCTTGGTGTCAGATACAGATTTTCTAAAACTTCTGATTTTTGTTTGAGAGTGTAGATTTTATCATTGTCAGTAAATACTGTTTGCTAATTGTTTTCCTGTGACAGGCACACTTGGCTCATTTTTGAGAAAAATGTCTGCCAAATACCAGAATCTGAATACCTTATCTATCTATCAATTGTTTTTCTTATCTATCAGTTGTTTTTCTTCCCAGTAAAAATGGTGTCCTTGTAGGAAGTGGCTAGTTTAGCAGGCAACTCAGACATAGCATGTAGGATGTCCTTGCTGATTATTGCATATCACATATGTTTTATGCCTATTTCCCATTTCCTCATGCAGATTATTAAAAATACATTTGCTCAAGGATCAAAATTTAATAAATTAATGCTTCACCGAGAACAAACTCAAATGAATTTGGCATTTTTTTCCCTGTATGTTAATGATGTTGAAGAATACTAGACTGTTATTTATTTATTTAAAGAACTATTTATTTCTTTAATTCCATTTGTCATTATTATTTTTTAATTTGACAGACAGAGACAAAGAGAGAGAGAGAAAGAGAAATTGAGAAGCAAGCCACCAGGTCCGGGACTTGAACTGGGGTCAGCCATATGGGAGTCCAGCATCCCCATCCACCATGCCACCTGCCGGCCCCACTAGACTGTTATTGTGGTTTGTGTCTCTGGCTTGATTCTACTAAGAGACAGTTTACCTTGCACTTCTGTACAATTGTTAATGTAGTAGAAGCAACACATGTCATCTAAGTGTTAAGTGAGTTCTGACCTCACTGGTCTCTAATGGGAGCTTAGGACTCTCAGGAGTTTGTGGTCCATACTTTGAAGATCGCAGTCCCAAGGAAAGCTCCACTGTGGACTACTCTTTGTGTGGGTGTTGTTGGGCTCCCAGCACAGTTGTTGAGTCTGCTGAGAGATGGGGCAGAAAGCTGGGCTGGAGGTAACTTGTCTCAGTGGTCTTTCTCTTTGCACAGGTCTGTCCACGTTCTCTGTGGGTTCATTGCTGGGCTTGAGTCTGAGTTTATGGAGACTCTGTCAGATGAAGAAGTGCTTCTGTCTCTAACCCAGGTGCTCCGGAGAGTCACAGGTACCTATCATGTGTGGCAAAGTTACAGCCTTGCACTTGTTGTCTGATCTCTAGACAGAAACTTTAGAAAAGGCAAAAACTAAATTTGGCTCTATACATCTCCAGGGACAATCCTTCCTCATATTAGCAGAGTCAGTAACAATTCTTGTCTCTGAGGAACTGACATGACTTTGCAAACATTATCCATTTTCTAAAACCTGCTACCAAAATAAATGCAGTTATTCTCAACCAGATTTTTACAGAGGAAGAAGCTGAGGCTCAGAAGCAGTGGCCATCACTGTTATAGGCAACTGATGGCTAATCAAGACTTGGCTACCTCACCTTGAAGGGTGTTGACTATTAGCTTATTCTCTGTTTTTTTTTGAGATTTTTTTTTGCTATAGGGTGCATGCGCTTGCCAGAGAGACAGAGAGACAGAAAGCAAGAAATCAACCCCTAGGGGGGATGGCCACGCTGCAATCCCTTCTCCTCCATTCTCCTCTTGGGATCTTGGACACTCATGCACATGCGACCAGCGTGAGTTTAAGCCACCGGGTCCGGGACTCCAACTGCGGTTGACTACATGGGAGTCCAGCAACATAGCCATTACGCTAACTGTTAGTCCCCCAGCTTGTTCTGTATTTTTGTTCAGAGTTGAGTAGAATAGCTAAGACAGGAAGAGACTCTTAGGAATACATTGTGTGGCTTGGTATTTTGCCTGGGTAGTATCTTTCATTTTAAGCTATTCAGCCTTTAAAATGAAAAATCAATTGCAGATACATAGTGAGAGTTCTGGCTTTACATATCATGTCTCTGTGTTTCAGGAAACCCACAGCTCCCCAAGCCCAAGAGCGTGCTGAGGTCTCGCTGGCACAGTGCCCCGTACACCAGGGGCTCCTACAGCTATGTGGCCGTGGGCAGCACTGGGGATGACATTGACCTGCTGGCTCGTCCCCTCCCCGAGGACAGTACCAAGAGCCAGGTAAGATGGCATGCCCTGGGTACGGGAGCATCAAGGGTCCTGCTGTAGAGAGCACAGAGCAAGTGACCAATGGTGGGGCTAAGACCCCTGTTACTCAGAAGCCATTTTATTTTTGAAATTAAGGATAATTTTAAAATGTATTATTTGTTTCAGAATTATACATATGCATAACTTAAGAGTCAGAATTCTGCAGTGCTGGCTAAAGCGAAACAAAAATAGCTTTAAGAAGGGTGCCTTACTTCCCCTTTCCCAGACTGCTTCTAGCTGATACTGCTTTCTAAACTTAGCATCTTTCTAAAAAATATATTTATACTTTCACTTAAAAAAAGACACATCTTTTTTATTTTGAGAGATTTTTGCTATAGGGCATGTACACTTGCCAGAAGGACAGAGACAGAGAGACAGAAAGTGAGAAATCATCCCTGGGGGATGGTCATACTGCAATCCCTTCTCCTCTATTCTCTTGGGATTTTGGGCATGCACACAAATGCTCCCGGTATGTTTCAAGTTGCCAGTCTAGTCACCACGGTTGACTGTGTGGAAGTCCAGTGATGTAATCATTATACCATCTGCTGGTCCCAAGGAAAAAAAATGATAAAAATTCTCAAATGTATACAAACGTAGGTAGAACCTTTGGATGCCTACCCCAGCTTCACCAGGTGTCCATCCACAGCCATCTTTGCTTCCTCTGCCTCCACCCTCTTTCGTTCTTATCATTAAGCATGTCTCACATGTGACATCATTTCACCTGCGCACATTTTGTTTTCTTCTAAAAGATAAGGATACCCTTAAGATACGTAACTATAGGGCCAGCAGGTAGTGTGGTGGTTGAGGCACTGGACTCCCATGTGGCTGACTATGGTTTGAGTCCTGGACTTGGCGACTTGCTTTCTCACTTTCCCTCTCTCTCTCTGGTGAGCCCATGTACCTTATAACAAATTAAAAAATAATAACAATAACAAAATTAAATAATTATTTTAAAAAAAGATATATAACTATAATACTATTATCACACTTAAAAATTAGCAATAATTCCTCAATATTATCTAATATTCGCCTTGTGATCTTTTTTCAGTTTGCTTATTTGGTTAATTCTTGAGTTTTTAGTTTAGTTATTGTTGATTGACTTCTCACTATGATACATAAGTATGACATATAAGGTTTTTAGCTTTCTTCTACTCCTCTGCCCACCCCAAGGCTCAGGTCTCCCCTTCTCCCTTCCCATAGATGATTCAGCATTTTTGGTAAGATTACTATCCGGTGTTTATGCAATCTCGTTCTCACCAAACGCTATTCATATTCTGAGCTGTCAGGGTACAATGGTTGCTTTTGTTGCTCATTGGTGGATGTGTGTGAGCAAGTGTGTGGATCTTAGTTTTCTGTTTCTCTGCCCAGACTCTGCTAGCTGTTTGAATTGCATTCTTTCTAACCCTGGTCCTTTTTTCCACCTCTAGATACTGTTTGCGGGGGAAGCCACACATCGGACGTTTTACTCCACAACACATGGAGCTTTGCTATCTGGCTGGAGAGAGGCTGACCGCCTTATCAGTCTGTGGGACTCACAGGGTCAGCAGCCCAGGCCTAGGCTTTGAGCTTGGCTCCTGCCTGCTCTGCTCTGCTGGGATCCTCCTTTCCTCTGACAGATAGTTTTCAACTTGGCTTGAGATTTGGGGGATGTTAATGACAGTCTGTCTCTCTCTCTCTTTTTTTTTTTTTTTTTGGGTAACGGAGGAAATCTCATTTCTCACATCTATCACTGGAGCTTGAGCTGAGTGAAAAGTGTTACTGATGTGTGAGATGGGTATGGCTGCCAACGGTGATGCTGTGCATGTAAAGTATGTTAAAGCTACCTTGTGTCCAGAGTCATTCTTTATTTCTTCTTCCTTTTAAGGTTCACTGTAGAGCGTATGCACCCCCAGACAGAGACAGAGACAGAGAGAGAGAGGGAAAGTGAGCTAGCATCCTCCAGGTGGGTTGGTCATGCTGCAATCCCTTCTCCTTCATTCGCCTCTCAGGATTTTGGGCTTGCGTCATATGCATCTGGAGCAGTTTTCAAGCTAACAGGTCCAGGACTCAAATGACCAGTTTGGCCATGTGGGACCTAGCTGCCTTTGGGAGACATTCCTATATCCGGAGACAAAAGATGGGCAAGACCCAGGCGACTCCCTCTGTGGGAGATACAGTGTGGTGGGAAGCTGGGGCCTAGGTTGAGGTCCTCACAAGTTATAGTGTCTTTGACTTTTCAGGAAGCTATGAACACCTCAGTTTGGAAGCTGCTGAAGGTGGCTTCTGTCTACTATGGTGAAGACACTTCTCAAAGTTAGGAATTTTTAGAACAAAGTAAATATTAAGAGGTTTAAGAGCATGGGGCCAGCAGGTGGTGTGGTGGTTAAGGCACTGGACTCCCACGTGGCTGACTGCAGTTAGAGTCCTGGGCTTGGTGGCTTGCTTTCTCACTTTCCCTCTCTCTGGTGAGCACACATGTCCTATAGGAAATTAAACACAAAAACAAACAAACAGTAAAGCAGTTATATTTTTGTGCTGAGAATCTGAGCATGTTTGGTATTTTAGGAGCTGGTTTCAGAAATTCTTTATAAAATTAATGTAATCCTTTTGGGGACCAACAGATGGCGTAGTGGCTATGTCCCTGGACTCCTACTCCCACAGAGTTGACTGCAGTTTGAGTCTCAGACATGGTGGCTTAAAACTCATGCTGGGCATGTGTTCCTAAAATCCAGAGAGAAGAATGGAGAAGTGATTGTGGCATGACCATTCCCCCGGGAGGTGATTTCTCACTTTCTATCTTTCCAGTGAGTGCACACACTGCATAGCAAAAATCTCCCTAAAAAAATTTAATCCTTTTGTAACTCAGTTGCAATTGAGTAGTCTTTTAGACTGGATTTAAAGTAAAAAATCTGACTGTATTTGGGTGAGTAGGTGGGTAATTAAGGTCCCGGACCCCACATAGACAACTCCAAGGTTTGAGTCCCAGATCTGGTGGCTTAAGAATTATACTGGGCCTGTGAATCTTTCCCCAGAAGAAAGTAGAGAAAAGATTGCCCTGTGGCCATTCCCCCTGGGGGGAGGGGTGATTTCTTGCTTTCTGTCTTTCTCCTGAAAGTGAACTTGCCCTAATGGCAAAAATCTTAAAAAAAAAAAAAAAAAAAAATCTATTTTGGTATCTAGTACAAGCCTAGTGGATAATATTTCAGATCTATTGTATTAATAGGCAAAATGTAGCAGAATTGAAGTCGGTATTTGGAAAGGATTTATTTTTTACATTAAAACCTGGTGTACTTAAAAAAGAAACAAAGGGCATACATTTATAAGGAAAATCTAAAATATTTTAAAAAGTTATTAGCCAAATTTGTAAACGGTAGCAGGCATTGACAGGGGACTGCTAAATTTTGTTACGCTCATAAGGGACATGATTAAGGGAGGACCAGGATTTCTTTAAATTTAACGGATGTAAATGAAACTCCGTGTTACTTTAACCTGCAAAACCTACAACTTCGGGAGGCCGAACTACGCAGGCCCGGAGTCGGCTCCAAGCCCCGCCCCTTAGCTCCGCTCCCGAGGTACAGGCCCCGCCCTCGGTCGACTCCGTCTGCCGCCAAGGCAGCATTGTGCGCATGTGCGGTCTGCGCGGCGCAATCTCGGAGCAGCGGAACTACTGGGGCTGGTCACTCGCCAGCGGAGGAAGTCTTGGGGGAGCGTTTCCGGGGTCGTTGGCGCCATGCGGCTGTCCGTACGAGCGCTGTGCAACGCAGCCCGGGTCTCCTGGCGGGAGAACTTCCCCCTGAGCGGTCGCGATGTGGCACGCTGGTTCCCGGGCCACATGGCCAAGGGTGAGGTCCACGGCAGGGAGGGTCAGGGCCCCGCCTCCTGGTTGCGCGTGCTTCTCTTCACCCGTTTGCGCTGCGGAATCCCGCACCTCCTGTCTCAGGGTTGTTGGCGGCTCTCCCCTGCGTCCTGCCCAGATGCCAGCGTCCCCTCCCCGGAAGTGCGCAGCTGTGGGCGGAGGCCAGTTCTTTTTTTTGGAGAAGTTTTTGCTATAGGGCGCGTCTGCTCGCCAGACAGACAGAGAGAGACATAGAGACAGAAAGCGAGAAATCACCCCTCAGGGGGGATGATCACGCCGCAGTCCCTTCTCCTCCATTCTCCTCTCGGGATCTTGGGCACGCAGGCACACGCGCCCGGCGTGAGTTTTAAGCTACCGGGTCCAAGACGCAAACCCTGGTCGACTAAGTGGGAGTCCAGCGACATAGCCATTACGCTAACTGCTGGTTTCCCGAGGGCAGTTCTTGAAGAAAACTCATCGCCCTCACCAGGGCGGCCAAGTTCCTTCCGCATTCTGAGCAGCGCGGACCCTGAATCCTCTTTAACCCTGAATTGTCGGTTCACACGCCACCCGCTGAATGATGGTGCCACTGGCCGGGGGTGGACTGGACTGAGCTCATCCTGATTACCTCTCAGTAACTCCCTTCTGACTTTTTATTTGCCCAAAGTTTCAGTTTTCACATGTTTTTGAAAAGGTACATGTTTTTGAATATTATTTGGAGCACTAAATAGTGAGCATGAAGGCCCTTTCAGGTCGTAAAGCATTCAGCAGTTATCACGTTGCCTTTAAAACATACCTTCAATCATTTTTTTCTTCCTGCCTAAATGTGTTTGAGAGTTATTTATTGTGTATTTGTCAAAATTTGAGCCCAAGAAGACATCTGGGACTGGTCCAGCCTTTTTCTGTGTTCTACTCCCTTAGGGGTTCTCTGCGGGGCTTTGTGCTAACTGCTTGCACACATTGGTTTTCAGGAGGGAGAAAGGGCACACACACGAGTGGGGACAGTGTGTGGGAGGAAATGGGATGACGATGTCTGAGAAAGTACCTAACTGACAGGGCTGTATGAACGGCTGGCTGAGGGGATGCCTTTACATCCAGAGAAACAACACTGAAGGAAAACGGACTATTAATTTTATTGCATGTTTTTTCTGGTTAGGGATGAGTTCAGTGCTGTGTGAGTGTGTGACGTGCCCATGGTGAGTGGACAAGGTTGGTACTTACGTCATCATCTCCACACAGTATGAAGGGCCTATGAAATCACCTTTATTCTCTATGATAGCCTGGACCAAGACCCACTGAAGTTACTAGAATACCTAGAATCAGCCAAGCATCAGTGAGACAGATTCTCACATTGGTATACTGCTGTTCCTCTGGCAGGGCTCTCTGCTTCACTCTGCCTTCCATGCCACTGATGTTGAACTTGAAGGAAGCAAATGGTTACCAGTTACCATTACTTAGTGTGCTTCACTTAGGTGTAATATTTTTAGGTTTATGGTATATGGTGGTGTGTCAGACATAGTTTGACTTTATTTACTACTGTTGAATGGTTGTGAACCCCTTCTCTTAGGCATCCTTCTATTTTCCAGGGCTGAAGAAGATGCAGAGTAGTCTGAAGCTGGTGGACTGTATCATCGAGGTCCATGATGCCCGGATATCCTTCACAGTGCAAGGGAAGCCCCTCTTTGAGTCATGGCATGTGTAAGGCATCAGGAAGTATTCCTGTGTTGTTACCATGGTTCCATCCCCCACTGTCAGCTTCCTTCCCCAGTCTAGTCAGCCACCACAGTAGCCAGCAGCTTCATCTGTTGTAATGATTGATTTTCAAGCTGCCAGGTCCAGGACTTGAATCACACAGTCAGACATGTGGGATCTAGTCGCCTTAACTATCATATCTCCCAGAAACTCAATTTAAATGTTCCGGCTAACCAGGACTTTCTTTTTTTTTTTTTTTTGAGAGATTTTCACTGTAGGGCGTGTGCGCTCGCCAGACAGACAGAGAGAGACATAGAGACAGAAAGCGAGAAATCACCCCCCGGGGGGGATGGTCACGCCGCAATCCCTTCTCCTCCATTCTCCTCTCGGGATCTTGGGCATGCATGCACACGCGCCCGGCGTGAGTTTTAAGCCACCGGGTCCAGGACACGAACCGCGGTCGACTATGTGGGAGCCCAGCGACATAGCCATTACGCTAACTGCTGGTTCCCTAACCAGGACTTTCTTATTGTGCTTGAGTAATGAATTGGCAAGACATGAAGTGCTTGTTTGTTGATAAGTGTACTTCTGAGAACTGATTTTATTATATTTGAACTGTATTTAGATTCTTATTACCTAAAGGAGGTGTTGTTTTGAGAGTTGTTACCACCCTGATTGCTTAAACCCAGAAGAGAGAGAGTATGATTCAATAGGCCTAAAACGTTAGATAGTGCTGGCCCACAGATAGCTAGTTACGTGTGTGACTGTGGCTTCTATTGCAATGAGTCTCTGGAAATAATACTGGATGATGAAGGACCACTTCCAGTGTTTCAAAGAGTTGCTGAAACTTCTATAGTAAAGCATCAGATTTCTTTGCTGTAGATATATGTTCATACAATATCTCATGCTAATCAAATGTACTTACTATTAATTCTTTGATTGTTATTAGTTGTAGATTTTTGTCATAGGGCATATGCACTTTCTGGAGAAAGACAAAAAGGGAAAGTGAAAAATCACCCTTCAAAAGCAATAGCCATGCCACGATCTCTTCTCCATTCTCCTTTCAGGGCTCTGGGCATGCACGCACATGTGCCCAGCATGTTTTTCAAATCACTGGATCTGGGGCTTGAACCACAGAGTTGACCATGAGGGATCCAGCACTTTTAACTACCACGTCAGCTAGCCCTACATTTGCTATATTTTTTTTTTTTTGAGAGGTTTTTGTGCTATCCAAAAAGACAGAGTCAGACAGAAAGCAAGAAATCGCCCACTAGGGGGGATGGCCACACCATAATCCTTTCTCCTCCGTTCTCCTCTTGGGATCTTGGACACACAGGCACATGTGCCCAGCGTGCGTTTAAGCCACTGGGTTTGGGACTTGAACCATGATCCACTACATGGGAGTCCAGTGATGTAGACATCATGCCATCTGCTGGTCCCAACTTTTTTTAAAGAATTATTTGATTTAACTTTATTTATTTTTAAATTTGACCAGAGAGAGACACATAAACACAGAGAGGGAGAGAGGGAGAGGGGAAGGGAAAGTGAGAAAGCGAGCTGCCACCTCTGGGATTTGAACTGCAGTTGGGCATATGGGAGTCCAGCATTGTTAACCAACATGCCACCTGCCAGCCCCCATTTTCTATTTTTTGATAATTAGATATATATTAAATCCTGTGGCCAACTAATCCTGTGTCTATTCAGATACAGGCCTCCAGGTTCCTCTCACTGGATGTTACAGATGTGTGGGCTTTTTGTCCTAGATAAGGTGAAAAGATAAGGCCTTGGCCAGCCGGTGGAGTGGTAGTTCTAGAAGCTGGATCCCACATGGCCAATTGCTCAGTTCAGGTTCCACACTCAGCGGCTTGAAAATCACCAAGTGTATGTGTGTATGTGTGCAAAATCCCAAAAGGGAAGAAAAATGGAGGAGGGATTGCAGCATGACTATTCCCCATGGGGGATGCTTTCTCACTTATTCTCTTATTCTCTCTCTCCCCAGGGAGCAAATGCATCCTCTGATGAGTTTAAAAAAAAAAAAAAAAAATGGAGGAGGGATTGCAGCATGACTATTCCCCATGGGGGATGCTTTCTCACTTATTATTCTCTCTCTTTCTGGCAAGTATATATGCCCTCTGGCAAAAATTATGCATATACATATCAGATGTAGGTTCAAATCTCAACTCTGACATTTACTAGCAAAGTGATCCTCCCCAGAGAGAAAATGGATCCCCTTATAAATTTAAAAAAAAAAAAAAAAAAAAAAAGTCCTGGCCCAGCCTTGGTAGCATAGGTGATAGGCTGCTACTGCATAATACGGGAGTCATACAGGCAGCCAGGTTTGGATCCTGGGGCAACCTGAAAGCACCAGGAGCGTCTGTGCACATCCATGTTTCTGGCTGGCTAAAAGGGTGGGGAAGAATTAGAGTATAACAAGACCCTGTTGGCAGGACATGTCTGTCTGTCTCATGAAATAAACAGTAAAAAGAAAAAATCGCCCAGCATAGTGGCATACTGGTCTGCAGTACTGGAAACCACATGGTAGACTGCATGTTTGGCTCCCGAATTGACATGAAAACACACTGGGTTTACATATACCCAAGATCCTGAAGAGTTGGAGGGCTAGAGGGGGGAATCACAGTGGGATGAGACCCTGTCAAGGGTGCCTGTGTCTCTCTTCTCATGTACACACATGTGAACTTTCTCATGAATTAAAAAAAAAACAAAGCAAAAACTGGGACTAACAGGTGGCATGATGGTTAAGGAGACTAGATTCCATATGGCTGACTGCACAGTTTGAGTCTTGGACCAGGTGGTTTGAAACACTTGAGTGCATGCATGTGTGTACCTCAAATCCCAGGATGCGAATGGAGAAGGGATTGCAGCATGGCCAACCCCCAAGGGATGCTTTTTCACTTTTTGTTTCCCATTCTCTCTGCCTGTCTCCACCTAGCACATATACCGTGTAGAAAAAAGAAATGTACAATGTCCAGAGACCAGAAGAGAAATGTCCACTTGTCACATACACTAAATAAATAAATACAGTTTACTATTTCTTTTTTTTATTTAATAATTATTTTTTATTTAACTTTATTTTACTTTGACCAGTGAAGAGAGAGAGAGAGAGAGAGAGAGAGAGAGGGAAAGTGAGAAAGCAAGCCACCAGGTCCGGAACTTGAACCAATGTTGACCATGTGAGAGTCCAGTGCCCTTAACCACCATGCCACCTGCTGGCCCCAGGTTTTACTATTTCTTTCTTTCTTTCTTTTTTTCTTGGAGAAGTTTTTGCTATAGGGCGTATGCACTTGCCAGAAAGACAGAGAGACAGAGACAGAAAGGGAGAAATCACCCCCTATGGGGGACGGCCATGCCACAATCCCTTCTCCTCCATTCTCCTCTTGTGATCTTTGGCACACAGCACGCGCGCCCGGCATGAGTTTAAGCCACCGGATCTGGGACTTGAACTGTGTTTGACTGCATGGAAGTCCAGTGACATAGCCATTACACCAACTGCTGATCCCAGGTTTTACTATTTCTTAATGATAATCAGATATAGGAGCCAGCAGGTGGTGTGGAAGTTAAGGTGCTAGGTCCCATCACTATCTCTTTTTCTCTCTCTCATTCTGTCCCTCTCTGGTCAAATTAAAATAAAATGAAATAAGTTAAATAAAGTTAAAATAAAAAATAATTCTTTAAAAAAAAATGGTGCTGGGTCTCACATGGTCAGCTGGTTTAAGTCCTGAACCTGGCAACTTGAAAAACATGCCAAACAGATGTGCATGCATGCCAGAAGTCCTAAAAGGAGAATGGAGAAGAGATTGTGGTGTGGCCATTCCCTTTAGGGAGAGATTTCTTACTTTCCCTCTTACTGTCTCCAGAGAGTACACATACCCTATGGCAAAATCTAAAAGTAATAGTCAGACATAGAATTGATCATAAATGCTTTTGACCAGCATGAGTTATTGCATGAATTGATATATTTACAGTGCAGAAATTCGATGCTTTATTATAGAAGTTCCAGCAACTCTTCGAAACACTGAAGATGGTTCCTCAACCTCCAGTACTGTTTCCAGAGACTCACTGAGGAGAGGTTGGTTGATGGGGTATGTGATGGTTCACCTAGCCCTCCCCCTGACCTGAGTATGCACTTGCAGGCACAGAGGGGGAGTGCTGTAGCTCCTGCCATTTGTATGGCCTCGACTACCTTGGCAGTGGGGAAAAGGCACCCCATTTTTCCAGCCAGGAAAGCAGGATTGGGATTGGCTTTCTTGCTCTTGGAACACGAGGATGGCTGGCAGGTCCTTACTCTGAGACTGAGATTCCCCCTCTGTACCAGCTCCTCCTGATAGTGGTGCCAGTCTGTATAACAAGACAAGGCAAAATAAATTCATTGGCCTTAAAGCTTTGAAAAAATTTATGCCTTAATTTTGCCACATCCCACTTTCGGGCCGCAACCCTCTGTTTAAAGAAACCCTTGGACTTCGGCCGCACTTGCTTGTCCTCAATAAAATGGACTTGGCAGATCTTACAGAGCAGCAGGTGAGTCTTTCTTAGAGATGCCTTTGGCAGGGTGACTGTGCCTTTCCTAAGTCCTTTGCAGCTTATGAGAGTTGCTGGACTCAAACAAACTTGCTAACTTAACAGACAAGGTTTGCTTTAGTAAACTCTGCTTTGAAGAAATGGTCTTGTGGCTTTTTTTTTTTTTTTTTCCTCTTCTTTTTTGAGAGACAGACAGAAGAGAGAAAGTGATGGCTGCTTTCTGCAAATCCTTCTCCTCTTGGGATTTTGGGCATGCACACACACATGCCCAGTGTGAGTTTTAAGCCTCTAGGTGTGGGTCTCGAACTGTGGTTGACTGCGTGGGAGTCCAGCGACATAACCGTTATGCCATCTACTGGTACCCTAACATAGTTTTTCAATAGAGCATGCTTCCCTCCCACATTTACTATATGATCCAGATGCTCAGAGCTTCTGTGGAAAATGGTCAGATGATGCTGCAAAGCCCGAGGACAGCCACAGCTGCATTTTCCAGTGGATCGTTCCTGTGTCTCCCTTGTCCCACATGTGGCTACTGTAGCTGAGGAACTGAGTTTCACATTTTTCTTAATTCAGGTTTCAATGGCCAAATGAGGCTGGTGGCTACAGCCCTGGACAGTGCTCGTTTGGCCTATGGTCTCCTGTGATGGCTGCAGTGCTCCAAGGTGTCTGACCTCAGGGCCTGTCTGCCACTTGCCTTTTGCACACCTGTGACTCGAAAGCTGGAAGGCTCTGGGGTGGGGGTAATGGAGGAGGTCAAAAGTAACTAAAGGTGATCTTCAAAGCCAGGCAGATTTGGGGCTATAGGTGACCCAGGGCAAGATATTTTCCACATGTCTGGAGGTAAAAGAAACATGAAAACTCAGGAAATGTTATTTTGAAAGTGTTCATCTCTGCTTTTCTTGCTCTTTGTCAAATTAGTGTTAGCATTTTTTAAATTCAGGCCATTTTTAAAAGTTTTTAATGATGCAGTTTTCCTTTTGTGGCAGAAGCAATAATGCCTTTTGGTTTTCTTTTTTTAAAAAAGAATTATTTAATTTAATTTTATTTACTATTTATTCATTTGTTTATTTCAATTTGACCAGAGAGGGACAGGGAGAGAGAAGAGAGAGAGAGAGAGAGAGGAGAGAGAAAGAGAGAAAGAGTGAAAGAGTGAGAAAGAGTGAAAGAAAGCCGCCAGGTCCAGGACTCGAACCACAGTGGGCCATGTGGAAATCCAGCGCCTTTAACCACCATGCCACCTGTGGGCCCCTAGTATGAGACATTCTTGTTACTTAAACCCCAACCCACAAGACTCTACCACAGGTTTCCAGGGAAACATTAACTACTAAAGCCATAACAGTTCTTTGTTCATTGAGAATCCAGGCAGAAGGCATTTCCCGTAATGATAACCACCCCCACTGTGCTTGCCTGCAGATCTGATTATTTCAAACCCTCCTGCTGTGCAAAAGGCAGTGGCTCTGAGAACAAAATGTTTGTGGTTTTCAGTACTTTTGCATTTTTACTTCTTTATCATCACACGTGCTTTTAGTTGCTTTTATAAATCAAGAATTTTGAGCCTTACCAGCATTGCTTCTCCCCTAAAATAACTAATTTTTATAGACTAGTGGATGACAGTCTAATACAGGGGTATAGCAGTATCTCATCTGGTTGGGGATAAGAGTATATCAGGTGCTTTTGTAGCTATTGCTTTTAAAGAATCAGGAAAGAAGAATAAAGTAAAAATATCCCTGGCATGACCCTGCTGTCTGTTTGCCTAAGGATGCCCTGAGTGAATTTATCAACTTAAGAGTGTGGCTTTGTTGTGGTTTATGACAAAGATTTTAAAGTAATTAAAGTCAACTGAATTTGACTTTTTTTTTTTCTTAAGCATTGACCATATTTAAGGTTAGTAGCTAATCAACCAAAAATACAACATTGGTTTTAAAAAATGATATATCTTGAGGTCAGCAGGTGTGGTGGTTAAGGTGCTGAGCTCCCCCTGGACTTGGTGGCTTGAAAATCATGCCAGGCGTGTGTGCATGTGGGCCCAAAATCCCAAGAGGGGAAAGGAGAGGGGATTGCAATGTAACCATCCCTCTGGGGGTGATTTCTCACTTTCTCTCTCACTGTCTCTGTCTGGTGAGTGCACAGCCCTATGACAAAAACCTACAAAAAAAAAAAAAAGAACAGCTTTATGCTGATTTCACTGACTATTAAGGCTAGTAAACTTGTATTAACATAGTTTACTTTGGGGCTTTAAAGTATTACAGATACTTTGTAATCAGATTGGGTTCAAAGCTTAGTTTAAAGCATTCCTTACATGAAATGTAGTCAGACTACTCAAGAGTAATGAGATTACTCAGTGAAAACCAAAACACACCCATGTATTTTGGTTGCTGGAAGTGGCTTCAGCCTCATTTTACATAGGGCTGGTACTGAAGTCCCAGGGGTAGGCTGGATTTACAGAGTCCTTTTTCCAGCATAGTCTGGAACATGCAGACTGAGGATAGCCTCGTTCTTTCCTCCTGCCCTCTGTGGAGGCAGCTCTTCTGGGGACAGTGAAGGGGTCAGGCTGCCGTCTGAACTCCCCTCAGTCCTCACAGCCCAGGGTTCACAGTTGTCTGGAACATATCTCCTCTTGGCCCTGCCATAGCTCTGAGCAGACAAATACTAGCATGTTCTTTCAAGCTCAGATACTCAGATTTTATTGTATCACACTATGTTTTCTCTTAGTATTTAAAAGAAAATGTCTCTTTCAGAAAATTTTGCAGCACTTAGAAGAAGAAGGCCTAAAAAATGTCATTTTTACCAACTGTGTAAAGGATGAAAATGTCAAGCAGGTTGGCTTTTTTTCTGTTTATACTCATTTTCTGCTTTAATACATTCATGGAATAATACAAAATGCTTTATGCTTTAATAAAAAGCAGAGATTAAGAGAAGATCTGAGGTGTTGATTTCCAGCTATCACAGGGATGCCTGCATGACTCCTGGGGTTATACTTGTTTCCTTGTGCTGAGGGCAGGGTGGACAATCGACAGAGTGTGATGATTTTTGAAAGAGCACAAAATCAGACTGTAAAAATACATTCTGGGGTTATAAGTAGTACACACCTTTTGGAGAATTTAGTAACTTATTTTTCCCAGTTATATTTGGTAGACTTTTATGGATTGAGGTGGGTCTTTATTAGAAGGTCTTTATTAGTCACAGCTGTCACTGTGGTTACTTTGGAGGAACTGCCCTGCTTGTTTATAGTAGTGGGATGGGAATGGCACAGGAGGCTCTTGGCCAACCATAGCTCAGTTGGACATCTGTGATCTGGACAGAACATAAATTTCCTGACACCTGATACTTGAGGGTACTACCTCCAGGTATTAGGGAAGAAAACACGTTTCTTTAGAAGATACAAAGTAGAAGTCTACATATGAGGTCTTTGTTCTCTTAACTGATGAACAGAAAGGGAGACACTACAGTTGATATCCTGGTATTCTGAGGTGGTAGGAAGAGTGGGTCAATGACATGGACAACTTTGAAATAGCTCCATGTGTTCTTGGTTTGTTGCAGGTCATCCCAATGGTCACGGAATTGATTGAAAGCAGCCACCGTTACCACCGGGGAGAGGTTGGTTGATGGGGTGTGATAGGTCACCCAGCCTCCTCCCTGACCTGAGCATGCACCTGCAGGCATAGAGGAGAGAGAGTACTCTGTCTCCTGCCAGGGAAGCCCTACCTTTGTTCTCTCATTCTCTTCTTCAGTGAGAGGTGATGGACTTAACGCTCTTGTGTTGGCCTGGACTTTGCTGTGACCTCTCCTCCCCTGGGCTGGGGATTCTTTTACCTTGGTTGGGTTGGGGATCTGAGGCTCCAAACAACCTGAGTATAGATCACATGAGTCCTCTCTTCCTCCTCCACAGAATCTGGACTACTGCATCATGGTGGTTGGGGTCCCCAACGTGGGCAAATCCTCCCTCATCAACTCCCTCAGGAGGCAGCACCTCAGGAAAGGTACTGCTGCACTGTGCGGCTGAGGTTTTAACATCATTTTTCCTAGAGAGGACAGGGCCTGAGGAGCACAGCCAATCTTCTGTTGCTTTTCTAAGACAAAACTTCCATATCCCATATCTTCACAGCTCATAGAGGATTGTTTTGTTCCACCAGAAAAACCCTGTTAACAATCTGATGTACTGGGTAGTTGGGAAAGTTGGGAAAGTCATGACTCATTTTTGCATAGAAAAACATGTCATGACTTTCTTTTTTTTTTTTTTTTATAATTATTTAATTTTTTTATTTATTCATTCATTTATTTATTTTTTAAATTTGACCAGAGAGAGACAGAGGTTGAGAGTGAGAGAGAGAGGAAGTGAGAAAGCAAGCCACCAGATTCAGGATTTGAACCCTGGTAGGCCATGTGGGAGTGTCCAGCACCTTAATCACCACGCCACCTGCTGGTCCCAATGTCATGACTTTCCAGACGACCCAACAGATTAAATGATGGGATAGAGTCATTCTGTTATAATTTTCTATACAGTTAGTTTTCTCTCTTTTAAAGTACTTAATAATGTAGGATGACTTTTCTACATTAAAATTTTTAAATTTATCATTATTATTATTTATTTATTTTTTGGAGAGATTTTTGCTATAGGGTGTGTGCACTTGCCAGAGACAAAGAGAGACAGAAAGTGAGAAATCACCACCCAGGGGGATGGCCATGCTGAATCCCTTCTCCTCCATTCTCATCTCGGGATTTTGGGCATGCACGCACATGCATCTGGCGTGAGTTTCAAGCCTTTAAGTCCAGGACTTGAACCTCATTTGGCCATGTGAGAATTCAGCAAGATAACCATTATGCTATCTGATGGTCCCATTATTATTTTTTAATTTGCTGTGGAGCAGGTGTGCTCACCATAGAGAGACAGAGAAAGTGAGAAAGCAAGCTGCCAGGTCCGGGACTCAAACCGTGGTTGGCATTTGGGAATCCAGAACCTTAACCACTACTATAGCCTTAACCCTATTATATGCTGGCCTCTTTTCCTGAATTTTTGTGATTTTATTTTTCATTTATTTAAACTCCTTCAATATCCAGGGTTCAAAATGTAAAATAGGGTTTGATTTTTCAGACAGGGAGCTTTTTTTGTTTGTTTGTTTAAGATTTTTGCTATAGGGCATATGCACTTGTCAGAGAGTGAGAAGTCACCCCCTGGGGGGATGGCCACACCACAGTCCTATCTCCTCCATTCTCCTCTCTGGATTTTGGGCACACACACCTATGCTGGCTTGAGTTTTAAGCTGCTGGATCTGGGACATGAACTGTGGTCAACTATCTGGGAGTCTTACCATCTGCTTGTCCTAGGAAGATATTAGACATTTCCATGAACCTTTTTTTTTTTTTTGGAGAGATTGTTTTTTTGCTATAGGGCGCGTGCGCTCTCGAGACAGATAGAGAGACAGAAAACGAGAAATCCCCCCCCCCCACCCGGGGGATGGCCATGCTGTAATCTCTTCTCCTCCATTCTCTTCTTACAATCCTGGGCATGCACGCACACATGCCTGGCGTGAGTTTTAAGCCCCCGGGTCCGGGACTTGAACCACAGTTGACTACATGGGAGTCTAGCAACATAGCCATTATGCTAACTGCTGGTCCCAGTGGAGGCTGACTTTCTAATGTGCATGTCAGAATGAGTACCTTCTGGGAAACCAGTAGGTGGTGTAATGGTTACGTCACTGGACTCCCAGATGGCCGAGTGCAGGTCAAGTCCTGGACCCAGAGGCTTGAAACTCATGCCTGAAGCATGTGCGTACATTCCCAAAATCTTGAGAGGAGAATGGAGGTGAAGGGGTTGTGGTGTGGCCATCCCCCCTGGATGGGATGATTTCTTGCTTTTTGTCTGTCTATCTTTGTCTCTCTGGAGAGCACACATGCACTCTAGCACTGTATCTCTCTTTGAAAAATAAAAAAAAAAAGAATGAGTACCTTCCTCCACATGGTGACCTTGGAAAGCTGTGTGTGTGCTCATCACGCTGTGATCTGTGTTAACCTCATGTTGAATTTGTCTTTGAGATCTTCATGGCACTTTGTCTCCTTGTTTCGTGATTATTCTTAGATTTTGGTTAGAAACAAATAATTACCATACTTACTATGACCTTTATTTATTTAATATTTAAAAGTTTTATTCCAGTCTATATTGGCTTTGTTTTTTTTTTTTTTTCTTTTCTTTTCTATAGGGCGTGTGCGCTTTCCAGACAGAGAGAGACAGAGAGACAGAAAGCGATAAATCACCCTCCAGGGGGGATGGCCACGCCGCAATCCCTTCTCCTCCATTCTCCACTCAGGATCTTGGGCATGCACGCACACGCGCCCGGCATGTTTTAAGCCATCGGGTCCGGGACGTGAACCACTGTCGACTATGTGGGAGTCCAGCGACATAGCCATTACGCTAACTGCTGGTCCCATATATTGGCTTTGTTTTTCATATTAATGATGTAGTATTTATTAATAAACCCATCCACAGTGTGCAAATCTGAAAGCAGAAAATCATGTTGAGCTAGTGTTTTCTAAAAAGGTATTTTTGGTGTTAATTGGAGAGTTGTTGCAGTCTTTATTTATTTATTTATTTATTTATAATTTACCAGAGAGCAGGTGCACTTGCCAGAGAGAGACAGAAGGAGAAAGTACCCCCAGTGGGATGTGGTCACATTGTACACATTGTAATCCCTTCTCTATCTCTCCATCCTATTGGGATTTTGGGCATGCACAAACATGCACGTTAGGTTCAAACTGCCAGGACCAGGACTCGAACTGTGTGCTTGGCCATGTGGGATACTGTTCCGTTAACCACCAGGCCACATGGCCAGCCCATTATTATTATTTTTTAAATCTAGCTTTTATATAATACAATGTATATATAGTTTATATTTGTATATAATATGCCAGTCTGGATATATATATACATACATACACATACAAATATTTAACATATTTGCTAGTGTGCTTGTGCACTTGCTGGAGAGAGACAGAGAGAAAGAGAAAGAAAGTGGGAAAGCATCTCCAATGGGGGATGTTCATGCCACAATCCTTGTCCTCCTGTCCTCCACTTCTCCTTTTGGCATTTTGGGCTTGTGTGCACACACACTGAGCATGTTTTCAAGCCACTAGGTCTGGGACTCAAGCTGCACAGTCAGCCATGTGGGATCCAGCTTCCTTAACCACCATACTACCGGCTGGCCCTTACATTTATTTTTAAGTGTGTCTTTTGTTTTGTTTTAAGTTGAGTTCTATTTATTTATTTATTCCGTGAGTGAGAGATAGAGATTGAGAGACAGAGAGCACTCCCAAAGCATTCTGATGCTGTGATCCACTCCCAGCTTCATCTAGCCCTGAGTCATGGGCACACACATGCCTGGTGTACTTAGAAGGATCTTCGGGTACAAACCCAGAGCTTTGCAATGCAGATCAGCCTCTCAGAGCATTGCGTTTAACTGCTATACTACCATTTGGCCACTGGTGTGTCATTTCTTATTAGTGGCCTGAGTACATTTACAGTGTCATGCAACAAGAGCCACTATTTCTAAACTTTTTGATTACTCCAAGCTGAAATTCTGTAGACATTGATAATTTTCTCTTCCTACTTACTCTAGCTGCAGGCAACCCCCATTCTACCTTGTCTCTGTATTTTGACCACTTGAACTACCTCATAACAGGTGGAATTGTGTTTATACTGCATCTTGTTTATCTCTTCATCCATCTGTAGACACTTGTCTTCCTTTACTGTTGAGTTGGTTTGATAGCAAGTAGAGCAGTCTCTCCTTCGGAGCGACCCTGAGCCGGGTCTCAGAGAAGCCATATGTGGGCCAGGAGTTGGCTTCACAGGCAGGCCTGTTGTGGGCAGTGCAGTGGGAAGAAGGATAAGGGGATGAGTCCAGGAGGAAGGAGGGGACAGTGGTGCAAGGAACAACTCTGGCTTGATTTTTAGTTTGGAAACACCTCCCTAGCATTGGGGAGGTGAGTTCTGGTACATGTGTTGAAACCTCTTTTGCTGTTTGTCTTGAAAAGCATCCCTGCCGTGAACTGGCTTGGGACAGGATATAGAAAGAAAGTTCATCTGACCTTTTTTGGCTTGCCAGACACATTAGTTACATATATGTGTTTTTCTTGCTTGTTCTGTAGCTTGTGTGTTTAGTATACAATCAACAACCCCTTTTCTATCCTGCAGGAAAAGCTACCAGGGTGGGCGGTGAACCTGGGATTACCCGAGCTGTGATGTCAAGAATTCAGGTGGGATCCTTGGTGATTGGGGCCAGAGCTCCATTTAGAGCTGCACAGGTGTCACACCTGGAGCTTACGAATGCTCACATCGTGGCCATTAGCCTCTGGCCATACCTCTCCTTCACTCTGTTCACTGTTCCCACTGAGCACTCGTGTATCTAGCACTGCCCTAGTCCTCACAGCAAAGTTGTGGGGAAGGCCCTCTTACTGTTCCACTTACAGATGAGACTGCCTGCACAGGGCCACAGAGCAGTCAGGGCAGAGCTGAGCCGAGGCTGCTTTGCACACATTCCCTTTTGTTATCCTTGGGAGGAGAAGATGTGCTGTTAGGACCTTTCACTTTTATTTATTCTCCAAATTAAGTGGGAGTTAAATCCTATGGAGAACCCTAGAGCTTGGTGAAAATGGTTTCACCATGGGCATGAGTTCCTGAGGCCTCCCTCAGAGCCTCAGGTGAGGGCCTTGCCCAGCACTCCTGCCTGGTGTGAGAGGCTTCCTGAGCAGCAGGCCTGGGGGGAAGCTGCTCTCTTAGCTTCATTATGCTTTCTGTATCTGCACAGGTGTGTGAGCGGCCACTGATATTCCAAAAACTCCTGGGGTGCTGGCTCCTCGGATTGAAAGTGTGGAGACAGGCCTGAAGCTGGCCCTGTGTGGTGAGCTGTGGCTGGGGCAGGTGCCTCCACTGCCCCACCCCTAGTGTTCCACCTGCCAGCTCTGGCATGGTGCCCCTAAAAAGTGGAGTTATTACTACCTTTGCCCTGGTTGCTGCCAGACACATTTCAACACCTAGAAGGAGAGCTGTTTGTTGTAGCTGATGTGTGCTGGTTACTGTTCTGACCACATCCTGCCAGAGAATAGCCGTCGTTCTCCTCATTTGCCCAAGGAGAGCAGAGCAGTCAGGGCATGCAGTGAAGGCACATGCTAGGTTGGAGGTGAAGCCTGGACAATAGCCCTTTATGACCCCTGGAGAAGCTCTTTTTTCCTCTGTGTAAACTTTTTCATAGGAGCATGATTGTCTTTGGGCTGAGACTGGGAGGGCTGCATTCAAATTCTGCAGGAGCACAGATGCAGGGCTGTCTGTCACTTAGTACTCCATCTGCTTCCCCAGGGACTGTGTTGGACCACCTGGTAGGGGAGGAGACCATGGCTGACTACCTTCTCTATACCCTCAACAAGCAGCAGCTCTTTAGGTGAGTGCAGCAAATGTGGGGCAGATGGGTCCTCTCCTTATCCTTCTCTCTGATCCCAGTCAATTTTTTTTTTCTTCTTTTTTTGGAGAGGTTTTTTTGCTATAGGGCGCGTGTGCTCGCCGGACAGAGAGAGACAGACAGAAAGTGAGAAATCACCCCCCGGGGGGATGGCCACGCTGCAATCCCTTCTCCTCCATTCTCCTCTTGGGATCTTGGGCACACACGCACATGCGCCTGGTGTGAGTTTAAGCCACTGGGTCCAGGACTCGAACCGTGGTTGACTACGTGGGAGTCCAGCGACATAACCATTATGCTAACTGCTGGTCCTGCCAATTTTTCTTTTTTTTTTTAAGTAGCAATGTAAAGGTAGTATAGACATATAATAATCTGTACATTATTTAAAGTATCCTTTTGATAAGATCTGACATGGATAGATCTGTGAAGTCATCAGAATCAAGAAAGTGAACATGTCCATCACTCCCCAAGTGTCTTATGTTCCTTAGTAATCACTCCTCCTGCCCACTTTTCTGTACCCAGGCAACCATCTGCATTCTAAAGCTGTAGATTAATTTGCATTTTCTAGAATTTCATCTAAATGGAAAGGAATCACTTAGGATGTGCCGTCTTTTGTCTGGCTTCTTTCACTCAGCATAGTTATTCTAAGATTCATCATGTGATGTTAATCAGTAGTTTCTTCCTTTCCATTACTGAGCTAAAATATTAATATATTCCATTGTCCAGGTAGATGGCAATTTGTTTATCCATTCACCTGCTGAAGGATATTTGGGTTGTTTGCAGTTTTTGGCTATTAAAAATAAAGCTGCTATGAATATTCATGTACTAGTAATATTGGTGGATATATGGTTTCAGTTCTCTTGGGTAAATACTAGTACTGGAATGGCTGGGTTATGTATTGATGGTAGGCAATGCTTAGCTTTTTAAGAAACAGATAAACTGTTTTCCAAAGTAAGCATGTTATTTCATCCTGCCAGAGAGTAGCCATCACTCTCCTCGCTTGCCCAAGGTGGGCAGAATGGTCAGGGCACATGGTAAAGGCACATGCTAGTTAAGAAGAGGGGCCTGGACAACAGCCCTGTAACACCCTTTGGGGCTATTTTATGTACCCACCAGCAGGGAATGAGAGAGTTCCAGTTTCTCCATATCCTCTCTAAAACCCAGTGAAGTTTTAATTTTAGCTTGTTTGACAAACTAAAATTAAATTAATTATTATTGCTTTTTAATTTGTTATAGGGCATGTCTCTCTCTCTCTCTCTCACACACACACACACACACACACAGAGAGAGAGAGAGAGAGAGAGAGAGAGAGAGAGAGAGAGAGAGAGAGAGAGAGAGAGAGAGAGAGAGAGAGAGAGAGAGAGAGAGAGAGAGAGAAAGCTGCCAGGTTCAGGACTCAAACCGTGGTTGGCCATGTGGGAGTCCAGTGACCTTAACCACCTTGTCACCTGCTAGCCCGACCTAGGTTTCTATTTGGTGTTATTTTCCTTCTGTCTGAAAGATTTCTTTTGATATTTATAATACAGGTCTACAGGTGATGAATATTTTTAGCTTTCAAAAGCTGAATTTTTTCAGCTTTTGGTTGCCTAAAGATATCTTAGTTTCATCTCTTTTTTTTTTTTTCTTTTTTCCTTTTTTGGGAGAGATTTTTACTGTAGGGCACGTGTGCTCGCCAGAAAGACAGAGACAAACAGAGAGACAGTGAGAAATCATCCCCCAAGGGGGGATGGCCACGCCGCAATCCCTTCTCCTCTCGGGATCTTGGGCACACACGCACATGTGCCCACTGTGAGTTTAAGCCACTGGGGTCCAGGACTTAAACCACGGTCGACTACATGGAAGTCCAGCGACATAGGCATTACGTTAACTGCTGGTCCCAGTTTCATCTCTGTTTTGAAAGATATTTTTCCTGTGTATAGATTTCTAGGTTGACAATTTTTTCCCCAGTACTTGAAGGGTGTTGCTCATCATGTCTCACATGTTGTTTCTGAGGAAAAATCTATTGTCATACTTGTCTTCATTCCTCTGTATATAATGTTCCTTTGGTTGTTTCTAAGATTTCTTTTTTAAAGTTTGTTTATTTCTTCCAGGAGTGAGAGAGAGAGACAGGGTTAGACCTCTTAATAGGGTCTTGACATCTCGACTGTCCCAATTTCACCTAACCCTGGATCACAAGCATGTGTGCCTATCGTATTCAGGGAGGTCTCCAGACTTCAACCCAGGACCTCCCTACATGAGCTAGCCTTGCAGAACATTGCATTTTGCCTTGGTGCCACTGTTTAGCCCCCAAATTGTCTTTTTATTACTGCTTTTGAGCAGTTTGTTTTATGCCAGAGGGATTATGCACACCTATGAGTGGGAGAAAGAGAGAGAGAGCGTCCCTCAGTTGGGCCTGTCACAACATGATCCATTTGCTTTAATTGTCCATCATGCCACATGTGTATGTGTATAGGGCGCATGTGCTCACCAGAGAGACAGAGAGACAGAAAGCAAGAAATCACTCTCCAGGGGGGATGGCCACGCTGCAATCTCTTCTCCATTATCCTCTTGGGATCTTGGGCACACACACACACGCACCCGGCGTGAGTTTAAGCCACTGGGCCTGGGACTTGAACCATGGTCGTTATTGCTGAGTCTTTAAGTTTACTAATCTGCGGTTCTAATTTGCCATTAATCCCATCCATTTCGGCCCTAAGGTTCAATTTGAATCATTTAAAAAAATGTCTTCCATGTCTCTAACTGAATTATCACATGGGGTGCTCTCTCTCCTGGGATGGCTGTTTGGGAGTGCTGGGGCAGGAAGATCCTTGGGGTTGCTGACTTGGAGTAGGGTTGGTCTGTCCCAGGAGTTTGATTTAGGACCTACATCACTCAGGAGTCTCATGCTCCCATGGGCCAGGGCCTGTGTTTTGGTTTGCTGAGCCACAAGGTATGAGCCCTACATGTTGCCACGTTCAACTACATTGACCTCTTCAAGGCTGAAGTTGTCCTCCATGGGAGCTGTGAGACAGGATGGAAGACTGTTTGGCCAGGGCTAGTCTCCTTGCTCCCAAGGACTAGGTGGTATTTATAGGTCAGTGCTTATCCCTGCTAGTCGCTGCTTAGTGCTGGCCATTCTGCCAAGGTTAGGCTTGTTTTCCTAGACCCCACATCATGAGGGGACAAGAGTGTCCATGAGAATCACTAGGCATTGCCCAGCAGTGCTGGCACTGAGTCAGCCTGTGCTGGTTCATGTGCTACAAAAAGTGCTGGCCAGACTATACTCTCTCCAGCCAGGTGGAGAGAATGCAGGTTGCCCTGACTCCCTAGGAGTTGCCAAGTGCCGACCTCAGCAGCAAACTGGGTGGCCTAGTGTGCTGCCCTTCTGGGTTTCCAGGCCCTGGGTTTATACGGAGACCTGCGGGTCCCTGCTCATGGCCAGTAGTTGCACCACCTGCTGTAGTCCAGGGTTCTGGTGTGGTAGTGGTCCTCACTGCAGATGACATGGCCACCCAGGATAGAACTCAGGGACTGATGAGCCATGGGGCCTGGTGCTCACACCACCATCACCCATACCCTCACCACACTGCAGTCACCATCTCTCCCAGGAGGTGCCTGGCAACTTCAGGAGGAGAGGATGTGCCCTGACTCTTGGGCAGCATTGGTGCTTGGGGCCCAGTGGTGCCAACCTGGGGTCTGTGTGTAGGTACGTGCAGCACTATGGCTTGGCTGGTGCCTGTGATGATATAGAGCGTGTGCTGAAGAGTGTTGCTGTGAAGCTGGGGAAGACGTATAAGGTGAAGGTGCTCACAGGCACAGGTGAGTATGGCTGTGTGGTGCACACTTGAGGAATGCTCACCTTGTCACTTGGTGAAGACTGGCCTTCTGCTGGGCATTCTAGGTGCAGCTGTCCTATGTGGCTTCCCCACACCTTGCACAACTGGCCATCCCCAGAGGAGGACTAGGAGGAGGGGGAAATTGTGAAGAATACATGGACAGCTTGTCTGGGGGTTGGTGCAGAGGAGCTATGGAAGGTTCTAGCAAAGAAGGAATTTGGAGTTCAGGTCTCAAAGGGTGAGACCGACCCTGTCCCCTAGACCTGAGCAGGGCTGGGTAGATGGATCTCACTGTTTACTCTGGAGGCTCCAGGTAACATATCCTGAGCTCTGTGTTTTCTTTCTGAATGTGGCCCAGTCCCCTGATGTTCGCCTTCAGATCCCTTGGGGCCAGCTTCTCCTTGGGGGGACTGGGCCATCCTGCCATGGTACAGAACATCCTTTCTCACCAGACATCCCTGTCCACCAGGTAATGTGAACGTCATTCAGCCCAACTACCCTGCGGCTGCCCAAGACTTCCTCCGGACCTTCCGTAGTGGGTTGCTGGGCCCTGTGATGCTGGACAGTGACATCTTGCAGAGCCACTCCCGTGCCAAGGTGGACCCCTAACCTGGTCTAGGCAGTCAGGGCAGCAGAAGCATGTGGCCTCCCAGACCTTCACAGTGTGGTGTTACTGTTTTCCAAAAGCTTCACATTACTACAACCTAGGTCCCTGCTTTAGGAAGGGACACTGCATTCTCCCACCTTACCACAACTTGGTTAGCTCCAGGGGAATGTCGGTGGGATGCCTGGCTTATCAAGAAGGTTCCTGCTCAGTATTTGTTTTGTCTTTTTTAATTTGCCAGAGGTATGTGTGTGCTCACTGGAGAAGACAAAGCGAGACACATCCCGCTTGGGTGCAACCCTGTATCTGTTTTCCTTCCTTCTGGGGTTTTAGTCATTATATACATGTACCCAGTGTGTTTTTCAAGCTACCAGGTCTGGAACTTGAACTGTGAGGTAGGCCATGTGAAATCCAGCCGTCCACCATGTGAAATCCATTGCACTACCAACAGACCTGCTGCTCAGTATTTCTTATGGAAAGGTTACATCTCCGAAGGAGTTAAAGTTATATATAATCTGCAACTTTTAAGCTCTTGAATTAAAAGGCCTATCTTTTGTTGGCTTATTCATTGTACACCCATAGTACCTTGGGCCCATATATTAAAGCCCCTTTTACCAGTGACAAAAGGGAAATGTGTAGATTGGGAACTGGGGCTGTAGGACAGTAAGGAAGAGTCTTGCTGCCAGCGTAGAGTTTATTTCACAACAGTTACATGTGTACACAAACATGGGCAAGATATTCCAAAGGCCAAATCCAAGGACGGGCCTCTCCCTCAGTGTCCTGGGGGCTGAAGGCTGCCCTGGTCACAGCTCTGCTGTGTACAGGCCAGAGGGTTGTATGGTATAGGCAGCAGAGACCCCAGGCCTCTGAGCACCTTCTAGCTAACGGGATGGTGGGACTCTGCTTCAGTGGGGCCGAGAGGGGTGCAGATGCCCTTCCTGACATTGTCATTGGTGAACATGAATACATTTGGGGAATGTCATCACTGCCAGCCTGCATCCTAGGGAAGGGAAGAGAAAGGGCATTGGGATAGAGGCACAGACTGAGGAGGTGCTGCTGGATCTGGACAGCAGCTCTGGCCTCATCTCTGTCCACTGGTGGCTGACCTTCCTACAGTTGCCTGAGTCTGCCAGGCTCCTGCACAGGACTGGTAATCTGCTGTGGGCATCCTGCCTTTCACTGGGACTGGCCTTTTGGTTACTCTAGATGCAACAGTCCTGTATGGCTTCCCCACACCTTGCACACTTATTAACCTCTCTTGCAATTACCCTCGAGTACTAACTGCCTCTTGCTGGGAACTCTGACCACTAGGGTGGGAATTATGAAAACATTCGTGGCTAAACAGGCTTTTAAAGTCAGGGAAGTCTGCAAAATGAACTCATCAAAGAGTCTGATGTTTCCATCACTCCCAGAACATTCGGGTCTGGCACAGCCTGTTACCTGTGGTGGATGCTTAGAAGCTGAGGGGACTCTGATGGGAGACTCCGTCTGTGAGACTCCAAACTGCTGCTACCTGTGGGGAAATGGCAGAAGGATCTCATTTGCTTTTGAGGCCCCACACAGGACTTGGCCTTGGCTTTCTGATCTTTGGTGGCATTGAGCTTAGTCTGGAAGGATTGGAGGAGCACTGGGCTTGCTGTGCCCCAAGAATGCTGGCAGTGTGGATGAGAGGCTGCAAGGAGCTGCCTTCTGTAGCTTAGTGCCCTAGCCTCTGCAGAAAAATGCTTTGTCCAGGGTTGGCGCCAGTAGCTCCAAAACTCTCGCCCTGACCAGAGCTGCATGCCAGCTTGGACAGAGGCTAGCAGGGCTCCGTAGGAGGCACTGATCTAGGCCTTGGTGTCCACAAATTGAGTCCATAAGCTTGAGATCTGGGTACAACCGGGGAGCAGCTCCACCGGGGGTGAGGCTCTCACCGATGGTGGTGAGATCCCAAGGCTGTGGGGCACCAGGGCCCTGGGAAAACCCATCCTACTTTAGAATGAGTTAGTTGATCAGAGAGCTAGTGAACTTAGCAAAGAGCTGTGAGTACTCAGTGCTAAGCTCATGGCACTGTGTTGGTGGGCACCGGAGAAGTACAAGGCCAGTCTTATTCACAAAGGAGTTTGGGTGCTGGAGGCAAATATTTATAAGAACTGTCAGATGTTTCCTTGAAGCCACTATGGGTATCTGCACTATTCGCAGAATGTCCTTGGGTGGTCAAACAACGCTTGATGGTGCTGAAGAGCTCAGCCTTATGCATGGCTGTTCTGCTGCTGAAAGGCTTGTTCTTGTAGGACCATACCTGCTGGGTGCTGAGCCCCACCGTTGTGGTCAGCCTTCTTCCAAGGATCTGCTGTTGGCCATGGCAGTCTGTGTGTCCTACTCAAGCTCCTGTTGAGCAGGTCGTCTGTTGCCATCCACACCACACCTCTGTCTGGACTTGGTCCAGTTGCTTCTGAGGAAAGGGCTAGCCGTTGGGAGTTGTTGCTGCCTGATGGAAAATCTGGAAACCATACAGCTTGGGCTGTGCCCAGGAAGGGCTCTTCAGTGAAACTGGCAGTTGCTGTACCCCTGAATACAGGCGAGACTGTCATCTCAGAATCTTCAGAGGAAATGGAAGGCTCTTGAATGTGTTTTTTCCCCCCAAGAAATGGGTCTGAAGAATTAAGTGACTTGTTTTAAGTTGTTGGAGCAAAGTGGCTCCAAGGGAGAAGGGAGCCTTCCTGGCAGTGGACAACACAAAAGAGTCTGCCCAGAAGAGTGGGTACACTGCTGTGGCCCATGGGGTAGTCAAGGGGAAGGCTCAAGGCAGTCCCTGTGAGCAGGACATGTTCTCTTAGGAACTGCAAAGAACCAAGATAAGCATTCCTGGGAAGGAACAGTTTTCCTGCCTGGTAATGTTTGTGGGCTGTGGAATCTGCAGGACCTGCTCTTCCGGGCAGGTGGGTAGCACCTGACATTTTCCATACTACAACCTGAGCAAACACTCCCTCTCCATCCCCTCAAATCCTGAAGTCCTTTGGTCTATTTTAGCTGCTTTTGTGAGGAATGCTCCTATGATCCCCAGAGCCTTAGTGGTGGAAGCAGTCCATCTGGATGATTGCCTCTCTGTGAAGTGGTCAGCACTGTCCAGGGGAGGAAGCCAGGTCAGCCAGGCCAGGGGAGTAGGAGCAGCCTGGATATCTGTTTTTGGCATCTTCCTTTGGGCAGCTCTGGAGAATGGACTGGGGCCAGATGGTATAGGAGTCTCAGGCTGCCTGCCTTTTTGGCTGGACCCTAATATCCTGGAGTGGGCAGAGTCCCTGGTCCCCGGCAGGGTGGGAGATAGGGAGTTGAGGATAAGCATGGGTAGTACTGTGGACAGGTAGTCCCCTGGTATGAGAGGCTGCACCTCCATTCCCCACTGGCTGGAATCGCCCAGGAAGACGCCTGGGCTCAAACACCATGCAGCAGAGGGAAGGGGCGATCAGCGCCTGTTGGCCTCTGGGGAGGGCCTGAGGGACCTGCGGGGACAGCGCGGGCTGGGGGCCAGAACTGGTCCCCTAGCCCAGCCGGTCCTAGGGCCGCAGCAGCTCCAGGGCGCAGAGGACGCCACCCAGCAGCAGGCAGAGGTGCCGGCTTTTTGTGGGCCCTGCGTCTGAAGTCCACGCCCGATAGCTGTAGAAGCTCCGGCCTGTCCCGTTGCCACCAGGCACCCAGTCTTCCTCGTCGTCCAGGCCGCGCTCCGCAGGTCCTGCAGCCCTCCTCCAGCTGGAGCCCGCCGCCAGACCCGCCGCCGCTCCTGCCGCTGGCCCCGCCGCGTGCCACACGCAGGGAGGATGCTCCGTAGCGGGGCGCGGGCCTCACGCGCACCCTTGAGGTCCCTCGAGTGCCACCGCGCACCCCTCCCCGGGCGCTGCCCCGTGCCCCTCCGCGGCCGCCCTTGGCTGTGCTGCTGTCGCAGAGGAAGGCAGCGGCAAGCAGCAGAACCCAGCACGTCGCGGCAGTCCAGTTCATCTTTGTGGAGCAAAACCTGCGGGAAGAGGGGGTGAAGGGACCTCAGCTGCTACGAGGAACAGGATGCTAAAAGCCTTGGGGGAGCGGCTCTGGGCCGGGGACCAAGGCGCTCGGGCCCTGAGTGCAGATAAGAGCCTCAGCTTTTGTGGGGAGCAGGGAGCTTAACACTGGAGGGGCACGAGGGTCCCTCAGCATCTTGGAGAACTCCACGCTCAGGACTGCGGTGGGCTAGGGGAAAGGTTTTACCATACAGTATTAGGGACTTAGGCCTGGAGGAAAGACTGGAGGGGTTTAGTGGGGGTGGGAGTACAGAATGGGAGTGGGGTGGTGAGCAGCAGGGCGCAGCGGTAGGGAGCGCTCAAGCCTGGGAGAAGGGGCTTCTTATCCTGGGCTCTGCACACTGAGGAAGGGCCTCCCGTCTGGGGGAGGGGTATTATATTTGGAGCTCACAGTCTGCTGACTGAGGGTTCGAAGGACCCTGATAAGGATCTAGAGAAGGGATCAGCTATGAGCCTCGGCCTGGAATTCTGGACCCTTCAGAACCCTCGCTCGGATATTTCAGGGCCAGAGGCCGGACCAGCGCTCACTGGGCGCGGGGCCAGAGCCAGGATTCTGGGTTCCCAGGCAGCGCGGAGGACTCGCGGCTGGTAACGCCGTTCCAGCCCCGCCCGGATATGCCCAGACCCGGTGGACAATCCCCTCCCTGCACACCACTGCCCCACGCACTGTTCTTCCCCGGCCACCAGACTGGGCAGCAGGTGCGGGGAGCCGGGATGGGTCACAAGACTGGCTTTGGATGCAGCGATCTAGGCGGCAGCTTGAGCTACCTTCCCAGCCCCGCGGGTGCCCGCCCCAGCCTCCCGGTCCGCACCCTGTGCCATCGCCCGGCCTTACCCGCCACCGGCCTCGATCGGAACAGCGGGCCTGAGTGGCCGCTCCAGGGCAGGAAGGAGCGGGCAGTGACGGAGACCCTCCACCAGAGCGCGGAGCTGCGGCGCCTGGATTTTGCGTGAGTTCTCCGCCCTAGGATTGGGGGCGGGCAGTCGCGGAGACTCGTCCCCGGGGAGACGCGAAGGGAGGAGATAAAGGCAGGCACCGAGGAGGGCGCAGCCCTCCGGCATCCCCTCTTCACTGCACTAACTTCTCTTTCCCATCCTCACCTCCCTCTTTCCCATCCTCACCCCCCCCCCCTCCCTACCCCCCCCCCCCTCC